TGTGTTTGGAGTCTGTGTTCCACAGAAAGAATTCTTTTGCTCTGACTTCCACATTTATCACTGGATTTATCGGGTGATCTCGTATTTCCTGCACATGCTTCTCGGACCTCCTCTGTGCTTCGTACCGGACCGGAGCCACATCTAGTGTAAATTAGAGGTGAGAATTAGTAGGAGTCTTTTTGCCAGCTGAACAGACAAAAGCCCTACTGAGTCATCCCAAAGATCATGAACTGATTCTAGTTCATTTCATTCAAAACTGATTTAAACTCTGATTTGAATCCCTCTTTAAACCTGTAAGAAATATGTCACGTAGTCCTGATCAGGATAGATGGGCCGGAAAATAAGGACTGAATAAAACTGTCATGTTTAACGCTGTACTTGTGTAAATCAGGTCATCTGTCATTCACTTGGCTGTACAGGAAGATAAGTTACAGCCGGGGGGGAGGAATCTTTGGAACGGCACATTATGCTCATTTCAAAGATGAAGAGAAAACTTTTGGAGGAATCATTAGTGTCTCCTCCTCGTTTTTAAGCAGATTAATGACTCATTAATGACTCATGAGTTGGAGTGACTCATGACTCTTACCTTAAAAATTAAAAAAGGTCAAAGATTTTCTGTCTTTTGATTCGTATTTATTGTCTTTATCTGAATATTTTGTCGTCTTTTAGGGAAACATTTTGAGCGTTATAAAGGGGAGGGAAAAGACAACATTTAAAATAAGAACACTACAGCAGCTCAGTTTAAACAAATGTAGCATCTGAGTTCAAAAACACCCGAAATATTGAATAAAGGTGCAGAAATAATTAATTTGCTCCTTTTTCTTCTAAAATAACAGGAACAATTCACAAGGACACGTGCGTAATCCGCTATTAAACTCTTAGTTTACTGTTTAAGACCAAAACACTGAGGAGCAGAATAATTACTGGGGATTATCACTGTGGAGAGGTTAATAACCAGAGAGGTAGAAGAAAGTTCATGTTTTGCATTAGTTGGAAAACTAAATAGATCTGACAATGAAAAATTAAACACTTCTTCCTTTCAAAATGACTGAATGACTTTATAAAGTTTAGTAATGAAAAAAGAAAACAACACATCTGCTTCTGTTTTTCTGTTTTGATGGAGACAGAAGATGTAAAGAAATCTTTAGCGATGCAGTAAGTTGAACTTATCCTCCATCTGTCCTCCATGAAGCAGCTCGTTGTCTCAGTTCATCAGGATCAGGGGAAAAGTGCAGCCTTTTGCTCTTCTGATGAATTGTGACTCAGAATATCGGTGTCGTCACAAAGACACAAAGGGCCGATAAGCAGCTGAGGTTTTATCAGACTTTCTTCTGGCTGCAGACAGTTTTCTGCTCCATCGTTCTTCCTCTGCTGATACTGGTGATATCTGTGTGAAATAATCCTACTTGTTTATCATTTTCAAGGTGATGAAAGGACTTTGAAGATGTTATATTGAGTAACAGATACAGTAAGGACAAAAAGATGAAGCTGCTTATTTAACATCATCCCTGCAGATGACATCACTTCCCTGTTGGCTTTAGTTCCTGCGGTGGGCACTAGTCCACTAAAACACTATCGTGCTAATTGTGGACCTAAATTTTACGTTTTGGAGTTTTACTAAATTTTTTCTGAATTGTGTGCAGATTTGCGCTTTCTAACTTTAAAAACTCAGTAGCACCAAATTAATTATTTCATCAAGTATCGAATGTCATTATCTTTAACAGCAGAGGGAGAAAGCTGTTTCATCCAAGTTTTCATTTAAGAGACAATTCCCACAATCCTTTGAGTTTACGTGGCAGGAAGCAACTGGAGTTACGTCACGGGGCGACTCTCCCTGCCGAATGTGTCTCCAGGTTCCAACCACACAGTTTGTACCTCCTCTGCGATGGTTCCTGGTGGAAGCGAGTACAGCACACTTACCAGAATGCTGCCCGTGGATTATCTCTGGGATTGACTGACAGAGGGAAGGCGGTACTTGTGCAAACCTCCTCCTGGACAGAACCTGGCGAGTGGCCATCTTAGGAAAGGCAGAACTTGCAAACACTTGCTGGAGGGAGGTGAAGGAAATACCCGAACAAACTGGCCACCCACGGTTACACACGCTCATATAAACAGTACCGCAATAAATAAATAAATAAATAAATAAATAAATAAATAAATAAATAAATAAATAAAAACTGAATGGTAAAACCTCATCTGCCTTGTTTTAAACAGCCCTGTGGACAGTCCTCCCATAATCACGCACACGCAGTGAAGGACACACACACACACAAACACACACACACACACACACACAAACACACACACACACACACACACACACACATTTGATCAGAACCGAATAGACCAGAATAGTAGAACCAGAGTAGAACGATGCTCATGGAGAAGGTGCAGAAACTTGAGCCATAATGTAAGCAGGGAAAAGTTTAAATTCATGCTCTTATTTTGACATGAAGACGGTTTCCTGTCTTCCGTGTTTTGACTTCCTGTCACCAATCTGTCCTGTACCCAGAATGCATCGCTTCAGCTTTCCAATAAACAGTTTAAAATAGAGCTGGGCGGTATGACCAAAATTTTATATCACAGTATTTTCAACATTTACACCGGTTTCACGGTATATCACGGTATTTTTCTCTTCATCACAGGTCAGCTGATAATAAAATGTACAAATGTTGCTTACTGACTTCTTTCTTTTACTGTACCTCTGTCTGTGTCTCTGTTTCCCTCCTCTATGTGTCTTTTCTTTTCTGACCGATAGTTGGAGACAGTAATCATGCATTTTGGTCTGATCGTTCCATATTAACGTTGTGTGTTAAATCTAACCGTGCATGTCACAGAAGATGTGTTTACTAGATTCAGCGATGGTGAAAACAGGATGTTTTTTTACTTCAGTCAATATAAGCAGCGGAATCGTCACCCACCGCCACTTACTCCAACGAGCTGCTCCAACAATAACATTAGCAAGCTAACGCACATAACGGTACTGCGAGGAAATGTGTCCTCTGGGAAACAGTTCAATGGCAGCCGCGACGAAGCGTTCCGAACATGTTCAGGCTATTTAAACCTGTATGTTTGGTATTCAGAAAATTCATCTTATAGCAAAAATAAAAACCAGTGTTCGGTACGAACCGGTATACCACCCAGCACTAGTTTAAAATGACAAATATACTGCATGTTTTCTTACCGAAGCCCTACCAGAAACATAAGAAAATGACCAAGAAGCAAGCAGAACTAGCAATCCTCAACAACCTCCAAACCACCTCCTCAAACTGCAGCGACATGCGCAGTGCTGTAAAAGTACAGTGACGTGCCTCTGGTCGGCAGTATTACACAAGAGTTGTTCATGTTGTGCCTGGAACTCACTCTGGTGAACTTTGAGTCAATTTAGTGTTTTAATTAGCTTCCGCTGAGATTTATGTAACGTGAGCACTTTAGAAATTGCACAACTAACTTTTGGATTAGCGCTGCCCACCACTGTTTAGTCCCGACAGCACTGATGGTTAATATTTAGAAAGATTTGTTGTTACTTAACTTTTTATGGTTCAGGAAAATAACTTCAGCAGCAGCAGTCTTCAGACCCAGCATCAGGATGTAAATGAAGCTTTTAAACTATTTGGATAAAACTTCCTCTTAAATCATCAGCAACTTTGTGTTTTACTTTATGTATTATTTAATCTGCTCTGATTGCACAACACCATCAGAATCAACATGCTAACAAGTAGCATCCATGTTAGGCTAATTCTGTGAACAACCAGCTGAATGCGACATCATCTTCTGAGCACGCAGGTTGCATCAGGACCGTGGAGAGCTGAACATTAAGACCTGCAGTTGTGGCCTAAGATTACTGAATAAACCTCTGGCTTCATAGTTGTGGGCATTACAGATTTTTATCAGTAATATCAGAGTGCTGCATTGTTGCAAACAACACGCCACATGGGTAATCTAAACTGGCATTGGTGTGTCAGAGTATGTCAGAATGCAAATGGACCTTGTCAACAGATATGTCAGTGTGTGACTGCTCTGAGCCCAGACTGGTGTCAAAGCTGAGGGAAATATTTATCCAGTTGAATCAGCAGTCCTGCTTCACAAAGAGGCGGAAGAGTGGAAGTAGGAGGACATGATGAGGGACGGCCTGAGAACAGCTGAGTGAGACAGAAGACGTGTCGGCTGAAGGAAGGAGACATATCTGCACGGCCCAGAGAGACCAAAGACAAACAAACAGAAGCTGCCGTGCAAAAAGTCAGCGCGAAAAGAAGAATCTGATTGGTCGACACGAAAAGAGAATTCAGACCAAACAGCTCACATTCATTATTAACAACAGCAAAAAAAATAAACATCAGGATTTATGCAGTTTTTACACAAAAAGTCAAAATTAGAGAGAAAACAAACGCTGAGAGCTTTTCTTTCAGCTCAGCTGTGTAGAGCTGCGTGAAGCTGAAAGATTAAGACTCAAAAAATTATATTTCCAAAAGCATCGCACCATCTGGTTGCTATGCAACCTGACCTAAAGTAACAAAGGTAACGGTGGATTTGAAAGCTCAGAATGACCGAATGGAAGAAAGGCTCATTCATATTTAGCTGAAACATTCACAAAGAAAAAGATATTTTGGTTTTAATCCTTGTTGAATGAGATCTTACCAGATAATAATGAACCTTAAAAATACTACTTCTGATTTTTACTATTCCTCAGTACTAAACTGCACTTCTGTTTGATCATTTCAGCTGCTTGTGATCCAAACCAAGAGCTTTAGCTTTCAGCTCAGGTTCTTCTTTGCCACAACGGACTAGAGCCACGCCCTCATTACATTAATCTGTCAATCAAACTTCAATCAACAAGACTCTCAAACACTTGGACTCCTCATCTCCAACCAGCAGAATGACTTTAAAAACACTTTTGTTCCTATTTTTTTGACAGTTACACCTTCACATCAACAAGACTTTTATTTTGAAAAGGACTTTGCCAGTCAGCTGTTGACGTCATCAGAAAACATTGTGCTTACCCATCTCAGGGTGATGTCTGCCCTCAACAGGAACGCTGACAGTCCGCCGCAGTAACTTGTTCCTGTGGGTCTCCGAGCGCCGCTCACGCATCAGCAAGGGGTGTACCTGCATCACAAGTTAAAAACATTTTAAAGATACAATTTACTCAGTTTCCTGTTGGACATGTAAGTACACATTTTTGGAAAGAAGATAAATCCTTTTTTAGGTTTCCGAGGAGCTACTTTGTTGACTGATGTATAAGATTGCCTTAAACATGACCTAATTAAACTCTGAATTTCATTTGTGTTTTTTAATTTTTTTATTATTAACACTTCAATGTGAAATATAGAAGCAACAACAACTGGCCTGATCCGGAGAGAAGGTTATATTTAAAAATCTCATTCATTCCATGAGAAGTGAAAACTGGAAGAGAGAAAATAAGAATTATATATAAAATAAATCACATTTCACAGCGCTGCCACATCTGGTCCCTCAGTCCCCGAATTCATAAAAGTGAAACTTGAGGGAAAACAAACAAGAGAATGTGCAAAACTCAGAAACATGGATTCTTTTGAAGCAAGTTTCACCTAAAGACGGTGAAAACTGAAGTAAAAAACCTAGAAAACAAAGATGTATTTTACATAAAAGCTTCAGTAGTTTTATAGTTGTAATTAAACTGTGAGCAGGATACATAAAAATGTATTTTTTTAGATTTTAGTGCTTTAAGACAGATACTTTCAAACATAAAACAGAGTTAGAGTCTTTATTTTTACAAAGTGCACTGTCTTCGACTCGCTGACATGAAATCGATAAAGGAAACAGCAGCAGCGGCAGCACGGTTCTGATCCCACATGTGCTCCAGCTGCAACACGAGGCCATGAAAGAGCTGAACACAGAGCGTGCAGTCACAGGGTGGTACGAGCTGCGGAGGGAAAGTGCAGCCTGGGGGGACGTCCAGCATGAGTGAAGGACACTGGCAGGTCACGCTGAGACATTTGTCCCTGCAGACAGCTGAGCGCCGCTCCTTTTAAAGGAGTTCTGTTCAGATGAAGGCGTCTCAGAGCCTGTGTGTGCCGGAGCGGCCTGCTGTCATGAACTTACAGCTCCTGCAGTGTTTGGTCTGCGTCCTTAGAAGAGAGGGCACATCAAATTTTAACGCAGACGCTTCGAATCAAGCTTCAAAACTTCTCTGTTCTTCACAACCAATGTTTGGTTCCATCAAAGAGGCCGAACGAGAGTGTGCAAATAACCACCCAGCTCTGCTGCAGTAATTGAGTTGAAGCAGCGACGTGGAGGATGTTTCACATCACAGCGTCAGGATTCTGTTTATGAGTCTCTTTATTCAACTTAATAAGGTACAAGGATGATAAATCAACATCACACCCAAGCATTGTTGGAACGCACACAACTCCTTTTGTGACGAATTACAGTACAAGCTGCTTGATGAAAAATATATTAAGCAGCATCCATTCTTAATGAGTCCAGGGAAACGAAGCAGGAACACCATGAATTCACAGAGCTTTTGTTGGAGCGTTTGGGAAAAAAAAGGTTTTGGTTTTTGTTAAGTTGTGTCATCAGGATTGTTCTCGCATTTTGGTCCTGTTGATAATCCTGGGGTGACGACCGTATAATCTGCAGCCATCTTTTATCGTTTCTGTTTTCTTTTATTTCCAAACATTTCAGTGGACACTATGAGGTTGTCACCCCCAGCCGAACTGCCGAAATCACACCGAACTGTTGCAGTTTCATGATGAAAATTGTGTCATTCTGTTCGCATTGTCGACGTCTCTGCACTTTCTGTTGCAACCCGCAGGTTGCATGTGATATGTGATATTTCAAAGATGAGTGATATACAGTATATGTAAGAAAATGTCGTGTTCGTTAAACTGGAATCAAGACGAAACCACAAAATATTGAATAGATTAAAATGCAAAAGAATTGGGACCTTACAACCCAGATCTGTATACGAGCGAAGCTTTATTGCTTATGATGAAGCAATCTGACCCGCGCTGCCTGAAACCGTAACTTCCAGTCCTTTTATGCAGTGTCTTCAGTGCCTGGTCCGCCCCCTACTGGCCTACGACTGAATCGTAGGCACTCAGACAAAAAAAACATGTCCTTATGTTTTATTAACGGTTTTTTATGTGTTGTAAAAATGTTTCAGGCATGGAGCTAACGCTATTTTAATCGACATAACAATAGTTAAACAATGGATTATACAAGTCAATACTTAAAAAGGAAAACTAAGAAAATGGTGTACTGCTTTAAAATCTGTTTCTAACATGACTAATAATATATATTTTTATTTATTTTAGAAGATTTATTTGTTTTATTAAAAACAAAATAAATTCCTTATATGATTTGAGAAAAAAATGAATGTAGCTTTGGTGGCCATCTTGGATTTCACATAGAAATTCAGATTTTGTTGAAAAATTGTTTCTCAACTACTCCTACATTAATTTTCCACAATAAACTGCCTGGTGAGTTCATGATGAACTGTTTTGGATGCGACACCAAGCAAATCAATTTGAGAATTTGTTGACAAAATGGAGTCAAATTTTGAAGAGCGTCTCATGGAGGAGATTAGAAAACATCAAGGACTTTCAGAGAGCAACAAACCCATGGGAGGAAATAGCTCAGACACTGGGTAAGGTCTTTTCTTTTGTTGTTTTGAAGCTAAAATGCGAACTCTGTCTTCCTCCTCATCCTTGATGCTATGACTGAAATTATGAAAAATTAAGGATTTTGTCAGGCGATCAGTACTCGAGTATAAAGTCTCAACCATTTGTGGACAATATGAGTGGACTCGGCACGTCTCATGCCCACAGTACCCCCGAGTATGAGGGGGGCCTTAAGATGACATTTGTTTGAAATCATTCTTAGCTACACCACAACCAATTTTAGCTCAATATGTCTTAGAATAGCTGAATTATAGCCATTTAAAATTGGCTGTGGTAGCCATCTTGGATTTGTAAATAGCATTTAGAATTTGGTAAAGAATGTTTTTGGAATTTTTTGTTTAAAAATGGCAAAATAATATATAGCTTTTGTTAAATTAATATTAGTGGTTAGCTTAAATTGGGACAAGCAATCAGCAGGGTTTTTGGAATTCTTTTAGCTACGATCAAACAAAACGTCAGCTCAATATCTTGCAAAACATCTGATTTAGAGACATTTGAAATGTGTTGTGGCAGCCATCTTGAATTTTCAGTTCCAGAGTATTTTTTTTTTGTATGTGGCCACCCCTGTGCCACCCCTAGCTAAAAAGTCTAGCTCCGCCCCTGCCGGTCAGGTCCAGACAAATCCCTCACATCCTGAACACAAACTGTTAAACTTTACCCACTGAGAAAGAGCTTCAAGTGTTGATTGCAAAACCCAGCCACCAAAGGGGCTTCACCTTTCTGTGGCGTGTTATAAAAATTTATTTTCAGACATGCAGGTCTACCTCCTTGAAAACTTGAGCGCGCTGCGGAAATGATAACGATCCCTGTTTTACCACCAGTGGGTTACAGAGAAGCTGAAATGAACCTGCTGAGAAACCCTGATTCAGTGGAAACATCTCTGCTGGATTCAGGCCGGTGTCATTAAGTTCCATCTTTCATGGTGATGTTAGAACTCCAGGTTTAATCAGAACAAACGTGTTACAGTAACTGACCAGCTATCCTAATTTCAAAAGAAGCTCATCTTAGCAGTAATATTAAAAATAAACATATTTCTCCCACTCAATGTATAAAAAATATGAGAATAATGTGCAAAACAGTGATAAAATGTGATCATTTAAAAATACTGGAGTTGCATTACATAACTTTTCACATTTCTATTCTGTTAATTAACTCATAGCTGCTAAATAAGTCTATAATTATAAAAGTGAAAGCTGCAGAGCTTTAACTGTTTCTATCACCATCACCTATAAAGCTGAGAATTTAATTCAAAAGGTGACATTATCAGACCCCCGAAAAACCCTAAAAGACGAGCCCCCTGCCTCATTCTGCTTCAGCTAAAATCCAAGTCATGTCAGCGCGCAGCTTTGATTTAAAGCTGTTAAGTCTTCCCAGCAGATTAATGTGGTAAACAGCAGCAATGAGTGCAGAAATACTCTGAATATGCTCCGTGCCAACGAGCAGCAGTAAAGCTGAATTAAACTCGAGCAGCCAGCTTCTACACTGATCAGCAGAGCAAATAAAAGTCACACTTTGTAACTGCAGCTCTGTTAGCAACTTTGCTTCTTCACCGTTTCTAAATATACGGATTAAAGGAGCGGTTTCATAACGCGAGCGCTCAGCCGGCTGACTCTGTGGAAGAGGAAGTACGGAGGAGTAGCAGACCCATACAGCAGGTAATCTCACTGTGTTCTGCTCTTATTGAAGGGATAGCTGTGATTTTCAGCAGGGTTAAAGAGACGTTTCTCTCTGTCCACATTTTCAGCTGTTGCCATGGAATCCAAAGGAGACAAATGTTCGCTCTTATCCACAGAATGAGCTATGAGAAGCCTGTAAAATATATGTTTGGTAAATGAAGGCATCCTCTGGGCTTCAGTTTGACACACACAAATGAAGCCATTGAGGCAAATTATCTGCATCGAAGCTTTGTTAAAAAAAAAAAAGTCCTCTTAAAATCAGCGCACTTTTGTCGGCCGGAATGTTATTTGTGTTGCGCTACGCTATGATGTTAGCACTTCCGCTAGCGGTTACACTGTTGGCACGTGTATGCTAAAGGCTATTTTTAGCAATGGAAAGAGACGAAGAACGAGGTGCTCAGAAAACAACAGAAATGTGAAAAAAGTGAGCTAATTTAAAACTAAACAGAAAAGGCAACAAAGTGCAATGCGCTGCACGTCCTCGATGTTTCTGCACAGCTGATGCATGTACCGAACGCGTCCGGCGTTAACAACAGGTATCATCGTTCACGTTCCCTTTCTGACTAAATCATAGTGGCTACCTGACAGAGTATTATTTAACAGTGTGGAGGTTCTGTGATCAAAACAAGCCTTAAGTGTGCAGCAACAGTTTAAAAGCATGAGCTGAAACACATTTATCTGTTGATGCTTCTTTCTTAACTTAAATGAGATACCTGGAGTGAATATTTCAAGTTTAAATGTATTTAGAAAGTAGGATTTGTTTCCTTTT